ACAAGTAAATAATGTCCTAAATTGACGTGTATTTTGACACATTAACATGACATTCTTTGTTTTCGTTATTCACTAGTTCTATTCGTATCTGAAGTACAAGCTCGTTACTCGAGACCACAGACAGATATGTATATTCCTATGTATATGTATTTGTATTTACATGTACATTTACATGTGTGTGTGTATTTACATGTACATCTATAATTAAGCATAAGTATACAGGTTTGTATATTTCTATCATAGACCCTATAAATACTCTACTACACAAACTGCACTTTTATGTCTTCATCAAATATCTTTGACTTTTCATTTTCATGAAGCACTACCTAATATTATACAATGAAGTTTGAACAAAGTCTCTTGGCAATAAAAATGAGATTCTATGAAACACAAAAAAGAACACACCGCCACTAATGCTCATCATCAATATAATTATTTTTAAATTGCTTAAATATGAAGATGAAAGGTGCTCTGTCTTTTAAACATCATAAATTAACACCTTTTTTAACAATCTTTTCAGAACTATTCATGTGAAAATTAGTGCATGGAACGACACAAACCACAAACTGAAACATTTATACAGCTCCGATAGATTTACACACACAATGACAAAGCAACGAAAACCTGATTTTACATGGATGCAGTGGTGCAACCAGGCGGTATGAAAAATTGAAAGAAACAAATCTATTTGTTATTTCCTCATTTCTTTCTCGCATATGAATCTATATTGTGTGGAGCAATCCCTATCACGCCAGTGACGCCACCGACTATATTGACCCGTACACTTAATACGAAAACAGTTTACATTATCATTGAACGAATACTGGTCAAAATTGCTATATGTAAGACTCGATCCGTCTAGCCACCTTGCCTCACTGAGACTTAAGCCGGTCAGCCCGATCCAGTAGGTATTCCAGTCATTGCACTGACCATGCTCCATGATGAAGTCCTCCTCCTCTTGCGATTCGATGAAGACCAGATGGGATCCGTATTCGGAACAAGCTGAAACCGCAGAAGCATGATTCATCTCCGAAGTGCTGAAATTGTACAACGACCCGCCGAATTCACAATCCACCGGAGGGGATGAGCATGCTGAAAAGATGAAAAATACAATATGTAAATTGCTCAATTTTAAGAAAGTAGACAAAGTGATTATTTGGGTAGAATCTGAAATATTCAAAGAAAAATAGATAATAATTATGATGATGACGAAAATAATAATAATATTGATAATGAAATAATAATACTAAAAGTAGATTTATGAACAAAACTACAGTTATGAAAATCAATACCTACAGAGACTTTGCTCACCATCGCAAATAACAATGTTATTTTATACAGTTATTTTTGTTTTTATGAATGAAAGAGAAGGAGGAGGAGAGGAGGGAGAGAGCAAGCGAGAGAGAGAGAGAGAGGGAGAGAGAAGAGGAGAGTGGTAGTGGCAAGACCCATTATAATGATGATCAAGTGCATGACGCCACTGTGTTGTTTCTATTACTCAGAGTCAGATAAAGACTGAAAGAGTGACAATAATACTCTATTCCGAGGCGCACTAATTATTATCTTGGCTTTAGCCTAGCTGCCATTACGGTGCTCCAGTATTTCAAGGATTTAATTCCTATATATACCAAGAACCGATTTAACTCACATGGGTCGAGTGTGGCAAATGAAGATTAGCTGCCATTACGGCGCTCTAGTATTTCAAGGAATTAATTCCGATAGGTTCCCATTTATCTCATCTGGGTCGAGTGTGGCAAATGGAGATTAATGCCTTGCCAAAGGACATTAATGCCGTGTTGGGGATCGAACCACGACCTTTGAGTTTCAAGTCAGTACTGAAACCACTCGAATGAGACACGTCTTCTACAAAGATGAAGAGAGAACGAAATAGGGATGGAGGGGAGTGGTCGGTGAATAGGGAGGGGTAAAAGAGGGATAGAGAGAAAGGGAGAGAGAGAGAGAGATAGAGAGAGGGGGAGAGAAAGAGAGAGAGAAGGGGGTAGTGGCTAGACAAAATATAATGATGATCAAAAGCATGACATCATATCATTATTTCTCTTACTTACTGGAGGTAATGTTGTCTTGCGATGTCGTTGTGTCTGACATCGTGGTCGTAGGGCTCGTCATGGGCTTGCTCGTTGCGTCCGAAGTCGATAATCCTGCTGACTCTGAAACGTTTGAAGGTTGTTACAAATGAAACCATACTTCCAAAGCAATGGGATCATGAATGACAACTAAACATGATTATATAAGGCCAAAACAAAGAAAATTCTGCTACATGACAACATATAAATTGTATCAGTCTATTTATTTCATGTGGTATTATTTGTGTTTGTAGATTTAGTGGTGCTTTGTCAAAGCCCAAGTAAATTTTTACCAAATAATTTATCTAAATGTGTTTGTTGTCATTAAACTCGTGGGCGAAAGAATAAGACGGAAACCCTCCCCTTAAAAAAGATTCTAGCGACGCCCGTGGCAGGAAAGGGATAAAGAGAGAGAAATAGAGAGAGAGAGAGAGAAAGAGAGAGAGAGGGAGAGAGAAAGAGAGAGAGAGAGAGAAAGAAAGAGAGAGAGAGAGAGAGAGAGAGAGAGAGAGAGAGAGAAAGAGAGAGGGTGAAGTGGGAGAGAGAGGGGAAAGTTGTTTCTCTTACTGGAAATTGTGGTTTCTTGCGATGTCGTTGCCTCTGATCGTTCCGGCATCGTGGTCGAAGGGCTTGCCGCGGACTTGGTTTTCGATTCCGTTGTCACCGACTCTGAACGGAATATTAAAAAAATATCAGATGAGTGGGGGGAAAAGGAGCCGGAGCCAGTAAATGATATAGGGAAACAGACAGACAAAGAAAGTGCGAAGAGGGAAGAAGAAGAACAACAACAGCAAGAACGTTGTCGTTAAACTTATAGGCAAAATATTATTTTTTCATTATTATTTATAAAAAACTAATGGGCACTAGCTGCCCCCTCTTTAAAGTCTTCTAGCGACGCTCATGAAAGAAGGACAAAGAAAAATGAGACAATATATAAAAAAAAAAAAAGAATTAGACGGTCACTTCCTCCTTTAAAAAAAGTGTTTTAGCGACGCCCGGATAGACCGAGAGAGAGAGAGAGAGAGAGAGAGAGAGAGAGAGAGAGAGAAGGGGTATACAGTTGCTAGACTCATTATGATAATGATCAAATGCATGACATAATTTCCATGATACTATTGCCTAGACATACCAGAGGTAGTGGTGTTTTGGGAAGTCGTTGTGTATGAACGCTCCGAAATCGTAGTCGTAATGTTCGTCGTAGGCTTGGTCGTCAGTTCCGTCGTTGACTGTATGATCACTGAAAATAACAGCAACAGAGAAACATAGCTGAGGTAAATGACGATGTATAACATTATTTTCCTTTCAAATTATGTCCCTGCCGGCTGTCTTCAGGCGCTCTTAGTCAGGGAAGGGGGATACGATCAAGAGGGGGAGGGGGAGGGGGGGGGGGGGCTGATAGAAATCAGAGAAATACTTTTTCCTGTGGGAATCCCAATTCTATCAAAAAGTTCCGAAAGAGGGCAGTGATGTACTTCTTTGTAATCATCATCATCATCATCTCCTTCTTCTTCTTTTTCTTCTTCTTCTTCTCCTTCTTCTTCTTCTTCTTCTCTTTCTTCTCCTTCTTCTTCTTCTTCTTCTTCTTCTGCTTCTTCTTCTTCTTCTTCTTCTTCTTCTTCTTCTTCTTCTTCTTCTTCAGTACCGGCCAGCGTCTTGTATTGTCGAACTGGTGTATGTACAATGTCCCCATGTCTGATAATATACAGCAAAAATGCGTATAAGTAAACAAATAACTGCGATTTTTTGTTTTGTTACACCCTGTGGAAAGTCTTTTCATGCTGTTTGCTCATTAATTGGCCATTCATTAATTGCTCATTAATTGGCCAGATACGCCTATTATATTACACTTACTTTCATCGCAGTGTCTCCCTTGAAACCCACTTGAGCAGGTACAGTTGTAGCCTACCATAGTCTCTTCACACCAGCCGTTGTTACAGAGGTTTTCGTCACAATCTGCGAAATAAGTTATAAACAGGATAATACTCATTATCATATATATATATATATATATATATATATATAAAGCTTCCAAGTGGTACAATGAATCAGTGTATTTAATATCTTTAGCGTAGTGCCCAGATGACAGATCCATATATGACAGAAAATAATAATAATATTGTATGGCTTTGTTTTCGTGTGATACTAGAATATATTGCTCTCGCTATTACAATATTGGACTCGTCCAATATTGTCATAGCGACAGCAATATATCGACGAATCCAATATTGTAAATTCGTCTGCCGTTCCACCGTTATCAAACGAAATACCAACCAATATAATTATAAACCATCAATAATTAATACTCAAATCACCCAGCAACCTGAAATTAATTATCAATGAATTTGCTATTAATGGGTTACCAGTCAAGTCTTCTCGCTCTTTTGAACAGCTTTCTGATTATACGATTGCTGCTACTCTTCGACTGGAACGATTCATTTTCACAATCTAAATAGTGGTGGTAGTAGTAGTAGTAGTAGTAGGAGTAGTAGTAGTAGTAGTAGTAGTAGTAGTAGTAGTAGTAGTGGGGGTAGAGGTAGTAACAGGAGTTGTAGTAGTAGTAGTAGTAGTAGTAGTAGTAGTAGTAGTAGTAGTAGTAGTACGAGCAGTAGTAGTAGAAGAAGAAGTTAGGAGTTGATATCAAACTTTTATGATATCACTAAAGTTCGTGTTATCTGCATGTAGATTTATTAAACAAAGAAATAAATTTGACATAATGAGAACAAAAATGAATACAAAAATGAAACCTACACGGGATTCTGCATATTCTCTTCCCGCCTGGGATTCCCTCTTTACTCTTCCTTTGGTGGCACCCGCCGATGACAGAAGGGAAAGGGATGAGTTTGGGGATGCTCTGCACCATGCTGCCATCCTGGAGTCGCTTCATCTCACACTTGTGGAACATGGGCAAAGTGTAATTTAGGCCGTACCAGTCTGGACAAGTTGTCTTCCCATCTTGGCGCTATCCGATAACACAGGCAAGGCTGTGAAGAATATATTAGAAAATTAATTGCTATTTGTTTTCTTCCTCTTCTTATGCCTCTTCTCCTCCTGCCTCACATCCTTATTCATGTCCTTCTCTACCTCCCCCTTCATCTTGCTCCTCCTCCACATCCTCCTCCTTCTACCCGCCCTGTTACTTCTCTCCCTCCCCTCCCTATCTACTCTTCCTCCTCCCTCATTCCTCTCCTCCCGATTCCTCCCCTCCCCTCCCCTAACCTACCCTACCCTCCCTTCCCCTTCCCCTTTCCCTTCCTCCTCCTCCTCGTACTTTTTATCCTTGCCTTCCACCCTCTTCTCAATCTTGAGGATGCAGGTTTTCTTAAAATATTTTGAAACATTTATTAGAGAGACTTTTTTCGAATGTGATTTTGTTTGTTTAAGATACCATGTTTATTAGGTCAGGTTTGAGGGCACAAATCCTAGTCAATGATTGTGTAATAGTGTCTGCCTAATTAGCTCTGTATACTTATGCCGCTTGTTTTGACACAGCCAGAAACAGGCAGATCTACGCTCTGCTCGCTCATATTTCGCTTCATTATGGTAATTTTGAAAGCCAACTATTTTTCAGCAGTATTCAACAAGATATTACGGATATGTCAAGTCAAAATAATACTTACCGAAGGACAAGCAGGTTACGGTACCAAACAGCAACTTCCAAAATACACCTATCTTTGGGTCTCTCCCAGTAAACAGAACACCAAAAAGTAACCTCTTTTGGGAGCGTATTTTAAGTGATTTTAAAGTATAGTGCCTTTTGAACTAGATTTAAACCTTATCGACACGTGCCTTCATTTAAACAAAAAAGGTACTCCTGTTCACGTTTTCATCTAACCTAAAAACCACCAGTTTATCACGCGACTGGAGTAACGTGATTCCACTTACCTCTGTAAATCAAGTGTTTATGACCAAATAACCACTTGACCAAGCAACGAGTTTTTTGTCAGTTAACCGATGGTGGCGATAAATACGTAATTATTTGGTCTTGTAAGCACCTTTATTGATTGGTTTCACAGGTTATCCAAGGTTGATGGTAATAATCACGTTACTTACACCGGCTAATCGTCTTATTGTTCTGTCCGTGAATCTCTGGTTATATTCAACTAGTAATTCTGAGGTGTCTTACACACCTCTTTAAAAGGTTTCAAAGTTACCATACATTTCTTGGTTATGATCACGTGGCTCGAGCTGATTACTAATCTAAGCTGTGAAAACGTGATATGTAGGTGTGAAAATTAGTAATTATTAAGTGTTTTAAAACACCTTTTTAAATGGTAGTCAAAGTTGCCATAAGTTCCGCGGTGATGATCTCGTGACTCAAACGGATTATTGATCTAAGCTGGTCATACGTGACTTTTAGGTGTAAAAAATTAGTCATTATTAGGTGTCTTAAAACACCTATTTAAATGGTTTCAAAGTTACCATAACTTTCTTGGTGATGATCACGTAGTTAAAACTGATTACTAATCTAAGCTGTGAATCCGTGATATTTAGGTGTGAAAAATTAGTAATTATTAGGTGTCTTAAAACACCTATTTAAATGGTAGTCAAAGTTGCCAGCAGTTCCGCGGTGATGATCTCGTGACTCAAACGGATTATTAATCTAAGCTGGGCATACGTGACTTTTAGGTGTGAAAAATTAGTCATGATTAGGTGTCTTAAAACACCTATTTAAATCGTAGTCAAAGTTGCCAGCAGTTCCGCGGTGATGATCGCGTGACTCAAACGGATTATTAATATAAGCTGGGTATTCCGTGTTTTCCATGTGTGAAAATGAGTTATTCTTGGGTGTCTTGATGGTTTCACAGTTACCGTGGTGATAATCCCGTGACTGTTGGCATATTTCTATGTTCACCAGTTGATAACTGACTGTTGGCATATTTTCATTGCACCAGTTGATAACTGGAGTGTGCATATTTCCAGTTGCACCAGTTGATGACTGAGCGTTGGCATATTTCGAGTTGACCCAGCTGACACCAATTCATTTGCATATTGAATATGGGGTGCGTGCAGATCTATGTTTTTTTAAACAATTCATCTGAATTTACAGCATATTTCTTCATTACTGATGATTTAGTTATATGCAATTCATTTCGAAAATACTACAAATATAAATTACCAGTAATTAGGACATTTCGCTACTTCGTATAAATAGTTAAACATGAATAAGGGAAACATTAACTGTGAACTAAAATAATTTCAATAAAGTACAAGTATACGAATTTTTTTCAATTAATTCAATTATGTAAGTCTACTTATTACCAATGCCCTTACATTGGAAATACAGACGTACCAGTATTGAAGTATTGTTGCTGTTCAACTGGTTGGAAGTTTTACCAAATGGTTCTAATGGCTCAGCTAGACCAGTTGAATTATAACTGGCCTGGATCAACTGGATCACTTAGCCCATTTCAATTTCCAGGGTTACCAGTTGGCATTAAATGGTTCATCAACTGGACCAGTTGCAGCTAGCTTTCTCTTCTGGGATGTTTGCACCCCCCCCCCCCACCCAACCCCCTCTAATCCCAAACTCTTCCGGCGCGTCTGGACGTAATTATGGAAGATCCAAGACACGATGTTCAGAAACGGGATGAGAACGTCATTATTTTGGTTCATTTATTGTGTAACATTTGCGTAATTATTTGGTTGAACGCGGGTCACAGTAACTTCCTTTTCGACGTAAATTTCACGTGAATGAAGAACATGATTCATCTCAAGTCAGCTTCGTAATATTCACGTGAATGTCACGCAGATATTTTGACTAAAACTATCACTAACGCTTCACGTGTTTCTGTGACGCGATAATTTCGTGTATGAAGATGTAATTTCATAACCAAACAAACACGGGAGTATTAGGTTTACAAACCATGGTCTCCAAGGTATAGGGATAATCACGTTATTATAATGGTGATATTGCAGTGACAATTGCGTGATTTAGTATACGTGTGTTTTAAGTTACCTAATGCAATAAACGTATTAACACATTTACGTAAATGTCCGGTGTTTGAAGAACGTAACTCTCCTCAAGTCGATACCTTGATATTAACGTGATTTTCACGTGATTTTGTTTATTGGGGCTAGCCTGTTTTTAGAAAAAAATATTAATATTGTTTAAATCAGTAAGAACAAGAACAATAACAACAACTGAAAAAAACTGTGATGAGCATATTGATACGAATAATAATGGGAATACTGATAATGGTGATGATGATTTTCACGAAGGTATGTATAAGAGCAATTACCGTAACTTATACCACACATACATGTTTCACTAACATAACCTAATTGTTGAGACTTTCAAACTTGTAAACGAGATTTTATAAAGGTTTTCTTGGCCAATTTCGGAGTTTTTCCAGCAAATTTAATAAAACGTTTATTTAATTTAGCGTAAACACTATTTTTGGTGGAGATTGTCGTTTACTACAGGGGATCGGGCAGGTTTTTTTTTTAATTTCACATATTTACCTAGGGGGTAAACAGGTTTTTGAGACATGATATGCTGTCAAAGGTTGGTGGGTATCAACGTGTTCAGGGAACCTCCCTGCACAATTTCTAAGTGGACTATCTTGACATGTTCTGCTGGAAGAATAAGTGCGGCCATTTTCCAAAATTACTGTTGGACTCTTCTTTGAGATTACGTTTTAGAAAAACCCCATTTTACCATGTGTGAGATGTTATATGAAATGGAATTGAATTTCATACGAGATGATAACGCATTTTATAAAAATTTCATTGATACTTGTCATCATATGTGTTCTTGATTGCATTTGGATTTTGTTACCTTTGAATTACCAAAAATAACGAAACCAGCATTCGAGATAAACACCTTATGATCCCTCATTACAATAAGTTAAGGGACATCTCTATAGAGGCCGAGCGCATTCAAAACGCATCACAAAAGGGCGCGCAATCAGGTATAGGCAGTGGCGGATCATGGGGGGGGGGGGGCGCACCCTGGGAAAAAACGTGTAAAACACGTTAATTTTACCCCTTTTTTGGGGAGATGGGCCCCCTCCCCTGGCGCTCAAGGGGGGGGGGGGTGCGAATTTTCAAACTTTCGAGGGCAAACAAAAATAAAAAATTAGTGCTCACTACCATTAGTGTCACCGTCAATTATTTTCAGAGGGGTGGGGTTGTTTATTCCTAGGTCACATTTGCTCTACGGCTAGGATACGGCGGCCGTACGCCCCCGAAATCAAGAGATACTTGCAGCGGCCGCAGAGAATCTACGGTAGCTTCAGGGTCACCCTAGGGCGTATCCGTATTTTTACAGGCCGTACGGGTCGCCGTGGGATTATAAAGCGGAGTTATTACTGTTTTCATTTATAGGTTCGCCGTATCGACCGTACGTGGGACGTACGTTTGCCTTGCGTTTTATATAATCCAGGGGTGAAGCGGTAGCAAGAGTCTGGCCGCACGGTCGCCGTATGATACCCCTTCGGCCGCCTTGCGGGCACCTTGCAGCTATCTTGCGTCTGCCTTAGTATTTGTAAAAAAAAACTACGGTCATCACTTCAAAAGCCGTACGGCAGCCGCAGGTTTTCTGTCTCCACAAATTTAAAATAGCCGTGCGGCTACCCTAACATATGTGACCACTACCGTATGTCACCGTGGGAATGCTGCGGCAGCTCTATAAATGCTATTGGCCGTAGATATTTTTGACCGCATGACCGCGGCGGCAAATGTCACCTAGGCATTAGTGGATCGAAATTACTGGATAATTACGACCCCCCTCCCTCTAAACAAAAATGAAATGGAAGCTCTTATTATCAATAATGTGAAAGAATATGTTTTGACCAATACGTGAGGTTACAAATTTTGCCGGGAAACCGTCTGCTCATTGATATATTTGCTAAATTATTATATCTATCCGGACCGGATAGATATCGCGCACGTGTCATGTAGTCCCATATACATCTTTCTGTGAATATTGCTTGTAACTTTTCCAATACTGGGCCAAATTTCTTATAATTTTGATGATTCC